TGTGTGTGTGTGTGGGGGGGGGGAATGGAATGGAATGGAAGCAGCACTGGCAGTCAGCCAGTTTGGACCAGTGCCAGTGTGACCAGTCGTGTTGTTCTCTAATTAACTCCTTTTCCCTTGCGCTGGTGCTTCTCACATACTCACACTCACATTCAAATACACACAGGCACATTAAGCCCAGCAGTTTCCCAGGAGCTCTGGGACACGGTGCATGCACGCACACAGACACACAGGTGTCCACACACACGACCAGTGCCATAAACAATGAAGAAGCTTCTTGTGATCGATTCTGTTGTCATGGGGTTTTTTTTCCGTAGTATTGATGCTTGTTAATTAGTGGTTTGTTAGCACAGATGGTGATTGTTACCCTCAAAATTATTTATTCCACTAACTTTTTGTTCTTAATCTCACAGTGGTCAATAATGCCAGTCATTAAAAAAAAAAATTCAGCACACTAATTTTCTGTACTTCTAGTCTTAGTTTAACTTTACATAAGAGATCATGTACGGCAATGTCACAAAATATACCCTCACAGGGCAATCAGACCATCCTGAAGGGAATATTTTGCAATAATGACTATCTAACTGTATATTATCTTGCTTTTTATACAGCTATTTACCTAATGAATGAATATATGGACTTGAAATATTGATTTTAATTTGAAGTATTATATTATATATTATATATTGTGAGAATAAATAAACTGTAGAGTGCTTTGAGAGCCATGAAACTAGCCCAGTATAGGAATCAGAATGAGCTTTATTCGCCAAGTGTGCACAAACACACAAGGGATTTGTTGTGGTAACCAGGACCTCTGGGTACATGCATACATAATGTACATATATAACACGAGAGAAAGAAGAACATTTAAATAAGTAAAATTTATGAAAAATAAAAATTATAATAAATTTAAAAAAAACAAAGTAACTTACATTAGATCCGACAGTTTATGTACAGATGTGTGCTTTATGTACTGTATATACAGCTGTATGAATAAAAATATACAGTTTAGCGTATTGGTTCTCAACCAAGGGGCCTCAAGATAACTTGATTTAAAATTAAAATAAAACAAGCATTAAAATAAGATAATAAAAAAAAAACTAAAATCAAGGTAATGTTTATTTCAATTCACCCCCTCAACAGTTTATTTTTCTTTGAAGAATATTTAAAGTGTAATTATGTAACAATCTTTTGATTCCTTAGGCATTTTTATTCTTTTTATGAAGATACATTTTTCTAGTTATTTGATCTAAAATATTTTATCAGGTAGAAATTGTAATATTCTACTGTAATAATCTACTTGTTGTGGACAGTGGGGGCCTTGGAGTCAAAAATGTTGAGAACAACTGGATTAGCGGCCCATGATACAAAAATATTTGACAGCAGAATGCCACGATTGACCAACCAGAATGAGGTTATTTTTAATAAGTGAATTTTGCAAAGATTGTAATGAAAATATGCCCACTAATATTTACACCTTAAGTTATTTTACGTTGCCTTATTTTTAAATTGCATTTTTGCCTTTCATCTGTGCTGTTAGCTAGAATTTTGAATGAGTACACCCACGAGTATAACACCGGGTGTGTATTATTTGCAAGGTCGCAGAGGTTACGAGCAACTAAAAGCATTTCCAAACTTTAGGTCAACAGTCAGTCCCTCTGCTGAGCCTCCAGGTTTTGGTATGACATGTAGCAGCTTTAACTGGGTTCAAATTCATAGCCCAGCTCTCCCTTCATTGCTTTTGACAAAACGAGTGATGTGTGTGTGTGTTTTCAGTCAAAAAGAATGTCACCCTGTCACTGGCTCATCTACCTCATATGTGAAACAAATCTTGGACATTGTTTGTATAAACACAAGAAAAGTGTATGCTTTTCTTTCTACTCCCAGTCTGAGAGTCAATTTTCTTGATTTGTTGGTCTGGTTTTGTTCTGAAAGAGCCGGTAAAAATGTCTTGATAGACGTGAAACATTTCAGTCGTGTGTGATCATTTATTGCATTGTGAAGAGCTCCCTCTACTGAAATCCTGGCGAGATACTTCTTTCAGCATGCACACTTAAAATACAGTGATGTATTGAGATCTAGATTAAAAGCATACAAATATTTTACTTTGTATTTCCTGCTTTCGATGAGGTCTGAAAAACAAATGTGTAAGTATGAAAAATGTTTTACACAAAAAATCTAAGTACGTGAATGCCATAAGTAATTCATAAGCTACTCAAACATATTTCATATGTTTCATATCATAAATATACATACTTTTGCCCATACTTGTCGAACCTGTAGTTGCTGAAGGATGAGTCTGGGTGTGATCACATAGTGTTACAGCAGCCTTGGGGGTTTGACTCTATAAGCAGCTTGTGTCATCCGAAACTACGAGGAATCATTGAGACGCTTCATGATGATCACACACGTGTGCTCAACTACTGAGTAGATCAGTAAGGAATGACAGACCAGACTGGCTTACGAATGACATAGATATGTGACTTGTGAGCACAGTGAGGTTTTAAACAATAAACGGTCCGTTTAATTGAGGCATTTAAAAGATTTTGTTACATTTATCATTATTATTATTAGTTTAGAAAAACAGCTTAAATGGAATTACTTATGAGTTATTATAATTATTATGTTCAGTTTAAAAGTCTGAGACCAGCGAAATGCTTATGTTTAACATTTTTCTAATGTAATACACAATTTGTATTTCACCTTATATCATTAACACAATAAATGTCATACGTAAAATTCATTATTTGGATTGTCTCCCTTTGTCCTTTAGCACTCGAGCAACATGAACTTCACAAGTTTGTTTAAAAATGTAAATTTCTATGCATTTTTTTCAAAATATTTTATCTTTCTGTTGTTGTTGTTGTTTTTTTCCAGATGTTAATTAGATTTTGAATCTCAGATTATCAGTGAAGTCAAAGACTTTTGGACATGACTGTATGTGATTTAACAAAATAGATTATGCTATATAATCAGTGATTTCAAATTGTGAATCATTCCAGTCACACCAAGATTTAGGTTCATCGGGGTCTTGTGAGACTACGTGCATCAGTGCTCTGCATTCCTGCAGTCATAATGCTGGGAATAGAACTAATATGAGCATAATGGACCACTCAAAGTTGAAGCATAGCTCTAATGTATTTTCCATCTGTTAATATTTAATGCAATGTTGTAGACGTCATTACACTTTTGACTAAATTACCCCTTTGCTGATCACCCTAGCTTAGTGATGACCTCTGCAACTGACAGTGTCACAATTACATCACCTCTTAATGAATCACTAATTTACTGTTATGGCTGCTGACACTTCAACTGAAGTGGGCAGAGTGTTGGATAGATAAAAGTAAGCAGTGTATGTAAAATAAGGAAAATCTCAAAAATAGAAATGCTATTTTAAAATGTTTCTTTAAATTACTTTTTTTTTTTTTAATCAGTTTGTTTTTAGAATGTTTAGAAATATTTTATATAATAGAAGTCCTGATTTATCCCAGAATGTTCTGTTGTCTGACTTATGCAACGTCTGTATTTAAATCTGCGTACATTAAGAGAAGCAGGATTCTCATGTTACACATTCTGTGCTTTGTTCTTAAGGGTTTACATTCTATCGCTCAACATCTTGCCAGTCAGTTGATCATATGTCATAGCTTGTGCATCGATATCTGCACAAACACATTAAACTCACACATATGTACAACCACTTAGCAAGGGTAGATTCGTTTAAATTAACTTTGATTCAAATGTCACCTTTGTTCTGCGATTATGAAAGCTGTCAGTGAACTATGGCTCTGTGTAGTAAATGCTACTCCATCTGAAAGCACGTGAAAATAAAGACATTTCCTGGGTTTCTTCTGCGAGGCGTATTTGGAGTTTCTGGGCGAGAGCGCCCTCTGGCCTTCGGATGGAGATTTACTGCTGATCACAGAACCGTGCTTCACTGAAAGATACGCATGACAATCGCAGCTTCTGCCTAATCGCGATTTATCGTCTTTGCGATTTAATTTCGATCAATCGTGCATCCTTAGCATGAAGCATATACAGAATTTGTCAGATATCATCTATGCAGGTGGCTTGACAGGCTTTACTGCATTTTAGAGCTTCATTCCCAATTAGAGATTTTTCTTTGTTTGCTCGTCATATTTCAAACAGAACATGTTGTATTTGTGCTGTAATCCTCGGAAATGTCACATATGGGTAAAAGCCTGTTGTGTCTTGTTCACACTTTAAACCCACTGTACCTTTTTCCGAGGTATTGATTGCATTGGTCCTTTAATATTGGTGACAGCTAATACACTCCTAAATGATCGGTTATTATCTCCGGGGCCTTGTTCCATGTGCCCTGCTGTTTTCAAAGGTCATCCCTCTGTCTTCCTGTATCGACCTGCTCGCCTGTTAACATAGCCTAAGGCTTATTGAAAGTGAAGGCTGAGGAGCATATTTCCATCATGTTGCAGTCTTTTCCTTCACGAGATGGCTTTTAAAAGGCTCTTTTGAGCATGTCCATTCAGAGAGAGGGGACAGGATGATAAAACATAATGGATATGCCAATAAAGGGAAAAGCGCCCTTAAAATGCATGTGGTTTTCCACTGGTGTGAGTGTATCAGCATCCAGCCTTAATATAATATATTTAACCATAGAAGGGGTGCACTGTATATGCTTGACATTCATAGCTTCATAACTGTAATAACTTAAAGCAAAATCCTCAAAATACTAACGAAGCATCTTCTTTTCATTTCACAGCTGTACGAACTGGACGATGATGAGAAAAGGAAGGAGTTTCTTGATGATCTCTTCAGTTTCATGCAAAAAAGAGGTGAGTTTTGTTATGTGCAGCTGTTCAGATCACAAATGTCAGAAGAAGAACACACCCTTTCACACTCACATTGCAAACCCATATGTTGCTTTTAGATTATAATGTTCAGATATGGCTAATTATAGGTCTTTCTGGAACAATTTTGGACATATTCCAGGTGAAATTGTATTTACTCATCTTCATAGAAAACTAAATAAGAAAATAAGCTTTTTAAAAAAAAATTTGAACTTCTTTCATAGGAACAATTAAAATAAGTAGGTTTGATTATAATTGTGTGCCACCTGTGTTTGAAAACAAAGCATCATGTCTAACCACCCATCTGCATTCTTGCCAACAATAGAAATGCAGGGTTTATTGTTTTGGTAAAGGCTGAGAATGTGTAGATACTATTGTGATAGGCTTTTTCAGGTTTCCTGTTTGAACCGTCCATTTGCCCCTGATGCTATCTGAAACAACGGCTTCTGCTGTTTGTTTTATAATTACTCTTAGATTATGTGAAAACATCCCTGAGGGGATGACCTTGCCACGGTAGGGAAGCCAGCATCCTGGTATTATGGCCGTGGCATAATGAATTTTCAGCTTTATTGAGGGAGGTACATCATCTGAGAAGTTTTTCCCACCGAGGTGTTTCAGCAGACATCAGAACGCCGATATTTTATAGAGGAACTTTAATGTCCTTGCATAATATGAGGAAGTTTGCAGCCTTTGATGACTTTCCAAGACAGGTCAGAGTTATTTTAAGTACACTGGACTGTTTTTGTTGTTTTGTGTGGCTCTGCTCTGTTTTGGTAATATGGTGTATTTTCACTATAATTTTGGTTTACATCCAAGTTGATTTTTTTCCTAAACAATTAAGAAATCTTGCAAAATTTCTAAATCCCTGGTAGCCATTCAGACAGGCACTCACTCTGGTAGCCCGAAATGAATTTAACTAGCCCCCCTGAAATGTCAATCAAAAACATTTTCTAAACACAAATATCGGCATATATCAAGGAAGGAGTTTTATTTCACTATTTACAGGATATCTGCGGGATTTTTAAAAATCAACTTAAGGCTTTTTATAACCCTTTTTAAGACCTGAACAAATAAAATTATCAACGTATTACCGGAATTACCGTATTAGGGAAAAGTCTATTGTAACATATTAAACCGTAAAATGACATGAAAATACAGGTTTTCACAAAAACAAGTCTTATAAAATTATAAACATCCCATTTCAGCCTTTAAACCATTTTTAAGAAAAGGGATGAGTCAAACATATAAATTATTATATTAATTTAAAATATATATCTTACTGACATTTGTGACTATTTCACATTTACAACTGCGTGTTTTCTGCGTAAAAACATGGGCCGATTTTCGCATTGGACTAAAACAGCAGACGGGCTTATTGAAAATGTGAATTCATTCTCTGCCACTAGATGGGGCTTTTGAAACAGCAGAAACAGAAAATATATCAGATTTTTTCTGAGAAAGAAGAATTGGGCAAGAAACACTCTCTTAATGAACAATGACCGATAATCATTCTGTCCTTCCTTACACATTACACTAAAAGTACTTGGCAGTATCTCAACAAAATCTATGTAAATGTATTGTGGGGTGTTGCTGACCTTGCCACCTGTTAGCAGTACAATATTATTACCAAATAGCTCACAACATTTTGACAGCTGACTATTCAGAGCTCATTTCATGCTTTTGTCAGTACATACTATACGTGACCCTGGATCACAAAACCAGTCATAAGGGTCCTTTTTTGAAATTGAGATTTATATATCATCTGAAAGCTGAATAAATAAGCTTATCTGAAAAAAAAATATTGAGAAAATCGCCTTTAAAGTTGTCCAAATGAAGTCCTTAGCGACGCATATTACTAATGATAAATAAACTTTTGATATATTTACGGTATGAAATTTACAAAATATCTTCATGGAAGATGATCTTTATTTAATATCCTAATGATTTTTGGCATAAAAGAAAAATCTATAATTTTGACCCATACAATGTATTGTTGGCTATTGCTACAAATATACTTGTGCGACTTATGACTGGTTTTGTGGTCCAGGGTCACATATATCAGTGCTGTAATGTAGTTACATACAAGTTTTGAAAGGGAGATTCTGTCTGTGTTTGAAAATGTACAGTATTAGATTACTTTAATTTCATATAATAAATAAGTATATTATTATATTAATGTTATTATTATATTATTAAATTAAAAATTGTATGAATTATTATATAATTTTATGCTGGTTCTCTTACAAAAAAAAGTGTCACATTAAAATTAATGTGAATTAATATTATTTAAAAAATGAAAATAAATTCATAAAGTAATATGCCTAAAATAACCATAAAATAATAAGGCAAGAATAAGGTCATAAAGTTAAGAATTAAGTATTTATAAAATATTAAAATATTTTTGTATAATTACAAGATTAAAGTCATAATATTTTGAAAATAAGGTCAAGATTTCTAGTAATATTATGAAAATGAAGTTGTAGCATTATTAATTATAATCTGCATATAATGTGATTAATTCAATTAAAAAAATTCTTTATTCCACATAATTTGTGCTACATTATACACAGTATGTTATGTATGGTATGGAAAGCTTCTTTTCTCAAGCTTTCCATACCAGTGACACATTTTTTGTAATACATTTGTTTATACATCATGTGTGGCCATTGAAAATGAAGTTGTAGCATTATTAATTATAATCTGCATATAATGTGATTAATTCAATTAAAAAAATTCTTTATTCCACATAATTTGTGCTACATTATACACAGTATGTTATGTATGGTATGGAAAGCTTATTTTCTCAAGCTTTCCATACCAGTGACACATTTTTTTGTAATACATTTGTTTAAACATCATGTGTGGCCATTTTTGACTAGTCAAACCATCTTTGCAACAGATTGTGGTGTTTTAAGCAGAACTCCACCTTGGTGGTTTGGTTTAGTGTTTGAGGCAGTTACAGGTCACAGGATATCTGATTTATTTTCCCTGAGAGGCAACAGATGACAGAGAGGGCTGAGTTGTCATTTAGCTCTTTCTCATCTGTGATGACAGGAATGTAGGGCAGGTTTTAATCGCGGTTCATGCTGTTGTTATAGCGCCATGGGCTAATCTATGCAAGACAGCCAGCGAGGAGACACCCAGTCTGGTGATGCTATGACATAAAAATGCCTGAATGCAGTGAAGTGAAGCTCTTCCCGTCAGCTCAGGCATGAGATCAAATATAATTAAATCCCCGCTGCCTCTGTTCTTATGCTTGATGTCTAAATCTGTATTGACTTCATCGCTCGGAAAATCAGAACACCCAGTGCACTCATCAAGAGTTCACTTACATTTATACAGTTTGGATTGAAGACACAAATGTTTAAAAGATATTTTATGCAAACATATATTTAGCTATCAGTAATGAACATTAAATGAAAACCCCTGTTGTTTTAGAATAAAGGCTTTTTACATTATGTCTGTTAAGGATTTTCCTGTCATACATGAGTCTTTCAGCACATAATCCAGGTTACCTGCCGTACTTGTTTTACTGTTGTGTTGTCAATCATGTCTCCATGGTGTTAAATGACCAAGTGGCATTTATAGCTGTGTTATCATACTGTGTAACTGACAGCATGAATAGAATGGGAACTCCCATTTAACTTCCACCATATTAAGTTTTGTCATTCAATATGGTGGTTCATGAGTGACAGTTGGAACTGTTCATCACTAGGAACAAGACTACGAGACAGAGGATTCACATTACCTTCCACCGAGACATGCTCAGTTAGGACACTTAACAAATTTAGTGGGGAAACAATTGTCATTTAGAAATTGCAAGTAAATTTCACAAATAGTTACAAAGAAGAAGCAAGTACCACATTGAAAGACTGAAATAGTATTTTTATTTTTTTTTGTAAAACATACTCCAGTAATCTTTATTTATAGTTTTGAAAAATATTTTTTTCTGTGTAGATGCTAATAGACAGAGGCAGTTCTGGGGTCACTGTATCTGGGGTTTGTTAGAAATTTCTGAAGTATAGAGAAAAATTGTGCCTCTGAAAGTCTACACCTATCATCTGAACATAGATTTTGCCTGTGGTTGTGTAGATTTTGCCTGTGGACGTTTTGTCAGTGACTGGGGTAATATTCCTCACATCAGATTCCACGTTCTTGTAACACATGGTTGCTGCAGGTCCATTTTCCTTCACTTAGCAATATCAGACATCTATGTAGGCTTCAACAGTGACAGGTGATAATTTGATAATCCCGTTTTTTTCATACTAGAGCGAAACTATTTGCTCCTGTGAGATCTTGAAACGTGCTGCCCCCACTGAAATAAGGGTGTTCATAGAAGCACACCGTTAGTGGTTTTTCTTGTTTGAAACTTGGTAAGGATCATTTTACAAATGGCATGCTGCATATTATAAATGAGATTTCAAGACATATTTGGATTGAATAAGATTAATACCATATTGCAATTTGAGATGGAAGCACAAACAGCTGATATCATGTTACAGCTCTTATTAAAAGCTGCACTTGCTGAGAGTGTTTTCCCGAACTTTATTATTGCAGCTCTTTGACAACAGATATTTGCTCCCTTGCAAATACTATCTGTACTACTGCACTGCTTTATTAGACAGGTTTTGTTGTGTTTAAGATTTTATGGAGTAACTGTAAATTATTTTAGAGTGTTTTTCACAAATAGGGGTTGTTATTGCAGAGGGTTGGTTACATGTTGATATAAATGTCTTCATAAAAATAATAATTACGAATAAAATAAATATATAAAATTAAAAATGAACACATGGGAAAATAAATTAATTGTTTTTCCAGATGGTAACATGTAGATGTTCTGAAATACATTATAAATTATGATAGATTAGAATAACATAAATATCTGTGGGTGACAGTTTTATGATTATGCTTTAAAATGTTTTGTCAAATAATGTATGGTAACATTTAAATGTACTGTTTTTATTATTTAATGTAACAATTGTAAT